CGTTGGCGAAACGACCGGTTACCAATGAATCACGAATGACGTTAAAATCTGGTAACAACGTCGGAGCCACACTCGGTTGTATCTCTTGTATAAATTGAGAAAAGTGTTTACCTCTCAAAGCGATCCCGACAAAAACTCGGAGAAGAACTTTTGATGTGAAGAGAATATCACTGTTCATGTTAAGAGTTTCTGGGCTTTTTTCTAATCTTTGTTACGGAAAAATTTAGTGATTTTTCCCTGTGGATGTTAAAGTAAGTTTATTCGTTTTTTTTCAGAATTTTAGCGTTCTCAATTCATGTGAGTTTCTTTCATTGCGATGTTTTAAAAAGATAAAAAGCCACAAGTAAATTTTGAATACCCAAGTTAAATTGTACAGCTGTATCTCGGTACTTTTGTTGTTTAATTCTAGTGAAATTTTGGGCAAATAAAAGTGTTAATGGTCTTTCCCGCAAAATGAGTTCTTATGGTAGTTGGCAGCTGAGTTTATACTGGTAACTTCAATTTTATTATTTACGATCAAACTTAACACCAACCTTGCTAAGATAAGCGGAAACTTTTAATTGTATTTTTCATTTTATTTTTGTAAGCTGCCTCATTGCAATTTCCATGGGTATATTTTCTATACCAGAGCGGTGAATTCTCACCTAAATTTTCTTATTTTTAATGGCCTCGAGTTTATTACATCCGTCCTTTTAATTTGAAATTGTTTAGTCGTAGAAAGAGTTGGGAATATTTAAGTAGTTTTCGTTTAACTTCAAAGAGATCTCTACCGCTTCTTTAGTTATGCTGTTTAAATGTGGTCGATTTGGATAACGGTAGCACTTCACACCCGTTAGTTTAAAAACAGCTACCTTGTACTGTTTTGATGATTACATCCTTGATTACTAAATTGAAGAGGCTAGAGGTCAAATCGCTTGTTGGCCTGACCTAGAATAAAGTTTACTGTGGAACCAAAACGCTGTCTCATCCTTTACGTCCGTACAAGCTCGCTCGAAGGAGATCTCCGTGTACCAGGAAATCGTGACGAGTTTCCATTCTCGCTGCCGAGTGGTCTCTACCGAGTTATTTCCCCCAGCTATTGTTGTGCCGTCCGCGAAGGTTCAGTTTCTCCAGTTGGACGCGAAAACTTTTCGTCACATCTTGTCCCTACAGCAATAAACCTGTTCAAGTAAGTGGACACCCATGAGGTCCTTTTCCTAATGATCCTTAATACAGAATGTGTGTTTGATCCAGCTTGTTGTAAACATAGATTGGCGTTTCGTTCTGTTACATCCTCAATCGGAGGGTCTACATTTGATGTAATGTTCCAGTTTTATTAGAATTGAGGATTTATTAAAATTGAGGATTATTAAAAATTGAGGATTAAAGCCGAAGTGGAGCTGCTACGAGAGTTTATCTTTATCGAAACATAGATTGACGTTTCGTTCTGTTACACCCTCAATCGGAGGGTCTGCATTTGATGTAATGTTCCAGAATTATTAAAATTGAAGTTTTATTAAAATTGAAGTTTTATTAAAATTGAGGATTATTAAAAATTGAGGATTAAAGCCGAAGTGGAGCTGCTACGAGAGTTTATCTTTATCGAAACATAGATTGACGTTTCGTTCTGTTACACCCTCAGTCGGAGGGTCTGCATTTGATGTAATGTTCTAGTTTTATTAAAATTGAAGTTTTATTAAAATTGAGGATTATTAAAAATTGAGGATTAAAGCCGAAGTGGAGCTGCTACAAGAGTTTATCTTTATCTAAACATAGACTGATGTTTTGTTCTGTTACACCCTCAATCGGAGGGTCTGCATTTGATGTAATGTTCCAGTTTTATTAAAATTGAGGTTTAATTAAAATTGAGGATTATTAAAAATTGAGGATTAAAGCCGAAGTGGAGCTGCTACAAGAGTTTATCTTTGCATGATGATAATTTTTCACTGGTTTATTTTTTATTTGTGAAAAGGGTACATGCGTGCAATTTGCTAAGGTTGACTAAAATATTCCCAGGAGTAAAATGATATATACTCAAAAGAGAGAAATTAACAAGCGCAAACATTTTTTTTTTTAGGAAATTAGATACTTGAATAGAGTTTTTTTAGGTTCTGTTTGATAATTCCTTGCTTTTTCGGTTACCAGCCGTTTCGTACCTAGGGTCGTTTCGTTCCCAGTTATTTCGTACCTAGCTAGGTCGATCCGTATCAAGTCAGTGGAGTCGTTTCGTATACATACTAACAGAGTATGTTTTCTATGAAAAGTACCAGTATATTTAATGTAAAAATAGGATAAATAAATCATCGAGAATAAACAAATTTACTACCTGTAATGTCGAAGGGAGAAAAAAAATCACAGTTACACCAGCTGTTACTTTGAAGAAAGTGACAAGTATAAAAAATAGACTGTTCTATTTCAAGATATTACACTTGACTTGCGCTTTGCAATATTTTAGTGATTTTGTTAGGAAGATCACAAATCGTTCCAATTTAATATTCGAAATTTCCTTAATTAAAAAGTGATACTGAAAAGTACAGCTCTTTGAATCGCCATACTGTATTTATGATTTTTGGATCAACTGGATCAAAGCTACTGCAAAAGAAGTGTTGGCCTGAACTAAAGATTACGAAGTGGAAACTCGATTGGATTTAAACGGTTTTGCGACTTCTTGTAGACAGCCATTTGTTATATACCTGCCCTAAATTCTGGCATCCGCACCACATAGATTAAAGGATTTACTAGCGAGTTGGCCAACAATAATGTTAGTGTAGTGATGGAAATTTGAAAATGAGAGGGAAATTTTAAAACGGCCACGATATCAAGGGAAATTCCGCTGTAAATATTTACTGGTAGAAAAGATAATATAGATGCCAAGGTAACAAAAAATAAAGTCCTCGTTAGTTTCCGTTCCCTCAGACCGGCTGCGCCATGGTGTTGAGGATGGTGACTACAATGAACTTTGATATAAATGGAAATGTAACATACACAAATGACGACAAGGAGAATGAAATAAGAAGAAAAAACCCAGATGTATCTAAACAGCCAATCGGTTAATCCTTCTATTGCACCCTTGCATATTGTTGACAAATAAATAAAAGCGATAATCAATCCATAAACCCATTTCCTGATAAAACGATGATTGAAAGGGCGATATGTTGCGTGCGTGCGTTCCAACGAAATGAAAGTGAGATTAACAAGAGATGCAAAGGAGAAAAAAGGAGCTATTGCTAAACGTATTCTGAAATAAGTTACATCATAACTCTCCAGCTCTCCGTAACACCAAACCATGCCTAAATGAATCTGCATCGGCCCTGATACTGCTCCGACTAACAAATCAACCATTGCCAGGTGGATGATCAAGTATGTACTCCGGCGGCGTAGCTGCCTCTGTTTTACAAATACAGTAATGGTGATGATGTTAAGGATGACTATGG